TTTAATTAATTAAATATATATCTGAATTTTGAATTTTCAAATTATTTAACTAATTCTTGAATTGGTATAAATAATACACCTGATATATAAACTTTTCCTTTAAACTATGCCCTTGTTTGAGCCCCATTTTAAGGGGAAAAATAAATTTTTGAATAGTGTATTGATGGGAAATGTGTGGTTAAAAAATAATGAAAAGTTTTGAATTTGCGTGTAATATTGATGGCGCTTTTTTTGGGTGTGGATGCTGCGATGAAGCTATGGTTATGGTGTTTTTGTGTGTGGTAGTAATTTTGCGGTTGGTGGTGTTTGCTAGTGATGGTGGTGCGCTGTGGTGCAGTCAGTCGTCGTGTTTTGGTGGTGGTTTTTCTAGGTGGGTTTGGTGGCGACGGTGGATCTAGTTGCGTCGATTTTGTTGATATTGGCGTTGGCGGTGGCGGTGGCGGTGGCGATGGCGGTGGCGACGGGGTAAGGGTGGTTGCAAGTGACGGTGGTGGTAGTGGAGTTGGTGGTGACTGATTATTTGACCTGTGACTTTAAAATTTCGATCATCTGTGACTAAAAAAAGTAATGTGACTATTAAATTTGAAAATATGTGATCTGTGACTATAATTTTTTGGATTTGTGACCTATAATTTTTTGATCTGTAACATCGACATAATCTGTGACTTATCAAAATTGTGATTTGTGACCTCGAAAAAATCTGTGACCAATTAATTTAATGATATGTGATTGATAAATAAAATATGTGACCTATAATTGTGAATATGTGATCATGAATAGTATAACAGTGGCTTTATTATCATTATTTAATAAATATTTTTAATTAATTAGCTAAAACTTGATTTTTGCATTAAAGAAATTTGTAACTTGGATTTTGAATTGGGCATAGTTAACACTTGATTTATGAACTCTTCCCATTAAAATATGCAATGAGCAATGTGCAAAACCATATGTACTAAGCCCAGAAGGAATATCTACAGTGGTTGTATCCGAGAGGATTGCTGCACGGGGAGAGAGAGAGAGAGAGGAGAAATTGGAGATGCTATGAGTCTTGATATCAGTTTCGTATTTTTCTTCATTGTAGATTTCTCTATGAAATACATTCATTACTCTTCTAGTTATCACATTGTTATAGGGCTTTGTTTCAAATTAAAGAAACTGGTGAAGATGTTTCACCGGAAAGAAGGTGGTTTTATATGACATCATATGTTTACTCTATTATGCAATAGAGATGTTGCACAAAGAAACCCGTAAATAATGGTAATGTTTAGGGAAGTCACAAAATGCTGCCACTGAGAGGGAAGAAATTGGGGATGTTGTGAGTTTTGATCCACAAACACAGTCATTTTTATAGTAAATCATCGTATCATTTTGCCTATGCAAGTATACAATAAAGCCACTGTTTGCAAGTTGAATATTTCTGTTTAGCTAGAGGGTATGAAAGGAAGGGATACCCACCTCCTCTTTTGCACACAATTAGTACAAGAAGCATTTTAAATAAGTCTTGGATCTGCTGCTTTTGAAGGTTTAATGTTGCCTGAACTGACCTGAAGTAGATTTGCTAAATTTCCATCCAAGTCCTTATTGGCGTGCCCATGTTATTGTTCAATTTTGACGTATGAATGTGGCTTTAAGAATTGCGGCTACAGCTGCAACATGAGGGCAAGACATGGATGATCCAGATTAAACAGTGTATGACACGGTGATGATCTCAGGGCACCTTTAAGGGAGAAGATGCTTCACTCTATGCTGTTAATATATCCAGTCCTGGATATTCTTGTTTCAATTATTTAGTGATTCACATTTTGAATAACATTGATGCAGATGAAGAAGGGAAAGAGGTTTCTGTTGTGAATAGAGAAAAATCAATGTTTTTGGAGAAAACGGGTTTTAATTTATCATGGGATTTTAACGATTGTGGTCCAATTGGCTTGATTTGATGTTTATTATGAGTCACGTCGAACTTTCATATGCCATGTGGCACATTCCATTAGTTGAAGTTGACAAATATTAAATGGGTGATAGATGGTGAATAATTGGGTAGATGGGTGAGCAATGAGTTATATTTTATAATTCAGTGAGCAACTATAATATAAACTGAAGTTGGGTGAACATTGATTAAATTTGCTCGTACATATATAACATAATCCTACTGTTGTATTTCTTCGTTTATGTGTATTGTTATAGCTTAAAATTATGTATTACTTACTTTTGAAAAGTGTAAATATATTGTCATCACAATTTTTATTTGTCCAACTACTTTATAAATAAACATTATATATATATATATATAGCCTAGTCCATTAAAAACAAGTAAATGATACACCTCTCTCAAACACAAGTAAATGGTACACCACTATATTTCTCACTCTTAAAACATTTTCACTACAATTTTTTTCTAAAATCTAATTGATGGAATCCATTTGAAAGTGACTAAAAAAATATAGATATTATATATTAATGGAGATAGAAAGAAAATTCATTTTTTTTGTGTAACTATTGGAACAATGGAGAAATATAGAGAAAAAAAATAGAGAGAACTAGGGGTGGGCGCGGGTCGGTTCGTTTCGGTTCTAAAGAGAACCGAACCGAACCGAACCAAGATTTTCGGGTATTTAGTAAATGGAACCGTCGGGTCCAAATATAATTATGGAACCGTTCGGATTCGGTTCCGTTCGGTTCTGTATTATAATTAAATTTTTTAACATTTATAACAACATTATATAAATACAACTAATAACACATTCAATGGTTTTGAAATGTCAGAGACTAGTAGACTACCTTATTCAAATGATCGCTACGGTCGAAATTTCGGTTGGCGAAGGTCACAGCGTCGGTCGACGCTTGTATAGATTTTGGAATGTCAGGGAGGCTGCGAGAGTCGAGACAGCGTTATGCACTTTAGTGTAAGTGTTTAGGGTTATTTAGTGGGTTGAATCTTTTTGGGCTAAGAAATGAGACAATAAAATGGGTAATTGGGCCAAAAATTAAAAAATTAGAAATAAAACAAATTATTGGACCAAAAATTTGAATTTAGAAATTGTTAATTTGTTAATTTGTTTAGAAAAAATTAAAATTAAAATAATTTGATTTATTCAATATAAAAAAAATTAGAAAGATTCGGTTCTTATTCGGTTCTTGGTCTAGAACCGAGAACCGAATCGTACCCGTCGGTTTTCAATTCAGATACCCGTTCGAGTATTTAATTTGACAAGAACCGTCGGGTTCGGTTCGGGAGATTTGCTTAGCCTTAATTATGCTGATCATTATGTGCCTCAACTTGCATACACCCTACTGCTCAACAAGAAGAATTCAAGGCACTGCTGTAAGTACCATACATACGTATACACATTTTTTGCTCGTTTATTAAGGCGGATTCTACAGCACTCTTGCTGGATTTTTTCATCGTTTGTATTTTTCAAGTAGGAAATACATTAAATAGCACGACGGATTTACGATTATTTTTGGACACATGCCTCGAACTCAGAAGAATCATATAGTAGAATTGTCAAATTTTGTGGTTTGCTGAATGGAAATGTATTTGATAGATGCTGGAGTTTTGCAGACAAAACCCCCCAAAGAAATGGGAAAAATATTGAGATAAACATCTTTTATGCTCCACTTAGCCTAAAAAAGTATCTCAGAATGATCATTCCCGAGCTTTTCACCAATTTAATTGGTTAGCTACTTTGATCCTGTCAATGAGATCGACAAAGATTTTGCAGATTGACAACAATCATAAAGATTTTGATTTAACATAATTATGTATATAATTATATTTATCATATTTAGGTTGATTATATCTATTATATTTAGATTAATACCATAGTTATATAAGGTAATGCTCTTCTTATATAATGCGAAGAGTCCCTCAAGGAAAGAGCATTCAATCATAAGTTTGTCAGATTCATACTCGAATACAATGTAGGCGTGCAAAGCGCACTCCAAAACAAACCCTCAAATTGGACAGGTCGATTGGCTGCAAGTATATATGAACAGACTCAGCAACTTGATATAGCATTGATAATGCATACTCTTGTGGATTAAGCCCCTCACACAGATTTATAGTGATTCTCTCAACATGATAGTCATGTTCACCTACTATTACACATTGTATCTATATTGGAGCAAAATATTTCTAAGAGTTATCCTCATGTCTCTCTTTGTGTATCTTTGTCTTGCGTGCAAAAAAATCCTTTTATAAATTCTGAATAAAAGGGTTATAAAAGCAATCGATGTGATAAATGTACTTGTATAATTAGGCTCTACCCAATCCAACATAGACGTCTCCATAAATGTGACCTCTTTATGTTTTTGTTATTGCATACCTTATAACTGGACATCTAGTTGGGACATGATTTTGTTAGTAATTAAGTTCTCATTGGAAATGGCTTTGAATGTTTGGATATGTAGGTAAGTTCTATTCTCACATTAAGGCATTCTTCAAACTAGATTTCGTCAATTACTACTATGTTGTTTATAACGAATTGAAAGATAAGGTTTTTTGTTTTGCAGTGGTGACATCGATGCAAATGTTCCAATTACATCATTAAGATACTCAATAAGCAGCCTTATGCTTCTAATCCAGAAAGCTTGGCCCCCATGGGATGTCAGTTGGGTATTTGGTTCTAAGTTACCCGCCACAGAGGTAATTTCAGCATTCCTTCAAGGGATTCCACTACCTTCCACCTAGTATCCATGTCCAAAGGGGTAGGAAATTCGTTCAAAGATACCCTAATGCTTAACTCAGTAATTGAAATTAAAATTCACCAAGAGAGAATTAGACTATGCACTTGCTTGATAGGAACCAAAATAAAATTTTAAGCAGATTTTGATAAAAGTAGATAAATTGTATATTTGAAAAGTTGTAAATGCATAAAATATGGTATTAAAATTAATTTTTGACTTTGATTTAGATTAAAATCCATTGAATTTTCATTTTTACCAAATAGGGGCTAGGTATTGATTGTGTAAAAGAGTGACTATATGACATGGACCTGTGAATAAGATCAACAAAATGTCATCATTCACAGTGCACACAAGTGCGAGACACTTGTAAAAGCAACCTGTCTAACAGAAGGAAAAACTGCTAGCGACAAAGTTTACCGTCAAACATATTCAGTCATAAAAAACATAATGAAAACCTGCATGGATCTCTGCTGAGACGCACAAATCACAGGTATGTAGTTTACAACCTTAAAACCAACACAACGAAACATCATATAGAACTGCTCCTGGTTTATGAAGCTAAACATGATGTTCCCAACAGTTCTTTTCAGAACTGTGACAACTTTGTTCACAGCAGAAGCAATCATGGCGATTACAGAAGTTGTTCAAGACAAATGAAATTCGAGATTTCATTGGTTACATGAAGTTGGCCAGGCAGTAGACATTGTATTATATGCCCGAGAATTGTGTCTGCGCTCTTGAGCAGAGGAACTAGTTGGAGTGTCGATTTGTTTGCTATCCTTGCCCAAACCGTTGCCAATAAATGGTCCAAATGTATCTTTCAGAAAGGAATAGTCCTTGTTCGGGTCTTTGTCAAGACCGGAACAGCTTGAGGCAAGCAAGAAATCTGGTCGGGAGAAGATCATCTGGTTTTCTGTATCAGCTGATGGTTCCTTAAATTTAAATCCTTCAAATAACGTGGGAATTACATAAGTACAATCTCGAAAAGAAAAAACTAATCCAGTAGGAGGATTAAATATCAAGTATACAATTCTGGTATACCAAATAAATAAATATTCAGACCTGGCATGGTCTCTACTGATGGGGGTTCATCCAATGAACTCCCACTCATAGGGGTGTACTCGCTGAACACCGATGAAGATGAATGACCAAAAGGAGAAATAGGGTCACCACATGTTTCCCATTCTGTCTCATGGAGTTCATGAGATGAAGTATCCAGTACATCAACAGGCATGGTGGAAGCAGGTAAAGTTGGCTGGCAAGAATTCCTCGATTTTTTCTTAGTCTGGGATTCATATAGTACAGCATCCAAAAGTCCATTGTTTCGAGGTGAAAAACTACATGATTGAGTATGTTCGGTCGGAGGGGATTGGATTAAAGTATCAACTGACTCAAGAGAAGGCAGTGGGGAATACGGTGAACCCCAACCACCTATTTGAGTTTGGAGTGAAGGGAGCTCCAGCTTCATTGCCCAAGCAGGCTCTGAAGAAGAAGGATTGCCATTTGTAATGGCATGGCCGCCAGGAATTAAGCTAGAGGAAAATGCATGGTTGGAAATTGAATCATGATCATAAGCAGAGGAAAATCCAAATGATTGTACAATCTGCATAGAACCATCATCTGGATATTGACTGCCATCTGGGAGTATGCCACCACTAGTGGCACTTACACCAGAGAACATAGAATCTGGTCCTGAAGGATGCTTGGATAGATGCATTTTAGAGAGTAAAGACCTGCTTGGACAAGAAGAGTCAAGACCTTCTACAAGCAGGCCACTTGCAGGGATATCAAGTAAGCCATTAGCAGGAATATCAAGAAGGGCGGGTGAATACAACTGCCGATTGTGTTCTATACCATTAAATTGGGGAATCTCGAAGACGTTCATCGGAATGAAGTCAGAATGTCGGATGTCTCCAGATGAGAAATTATCCATGTTCTCATTGTGTTGGTTCTCATTTAATGCTTGCATACAGACATCAGGAGGATAGATTGGTAAGCCAGCGCGCTGTCTTCTTTTGATTCTAGTGTTCCAGTAGTTCTTGATCTCATTATCTGTGCGCCCGGGCAACTAAATACAAAAAGATGAGAGAAATGAATTAGAATTAGAAAATCCTGCGAGAGTAGTGCAACTAAATGCTATATTATTTTGAAAGCATGTACAATTTCTCTCATGATCTTTGGGCACCTTTGGTGACTTGTATTAGATACCACTGGATAATACTAAGAAAGAAAAAGAAGAAACTAAAATCTAGTTTATTGTATGGTATAATACTTCATACCAAACATGCACTTTGTTTATTGTATAGTACTATTAGAAAACCTATATAAGATTAGGAGAATATTTGCAAGCCAAAATAGCAGAGGATACACTACACTGGTAATGCAACAAGAAAGAGTGGGATTTCTTGACACATTTATAATTCAAATTGTTAAGAGAATGATATACGCATGTATGTACTTGCTCTTGGAGGAATATGCATACCTTCATTTTCCAGACATCATGTCTTGTAAATTGATCGTACGTAAGAACAAACTTAACAAAAAAATAAATTAAAATTGGTTGATGGGAGAGATAAAACATTAACATCTCTCTTGCTACAAAAAGGTATAAACGATGAGTAAATATTGAACATAGCACAACTGAAACCGAACTGAACCGTGAACCAATGATTTTTTACAATGGAACCATTGATTTCATTGATAATTATGGAACCAAAGTAGAACTGAATTAAATGGTTCCTGTTTGGTTCAGTTCCATAATCAAAATTTCTAAATTATTAATGCAAATTACAATACAAAGTTTTATCACCAAAAGTTAACACTCATACTCACATCCAAGTCAAAAAATGAACATCATTCAATGCAAACGAAAAGTTCCATCTTCATACTAAATATTGTCTAATAAAAATCATTCACCAAAATTTAACAAATAAACATAATTAATTAAAAAATGGTTGGGTGGTTCTTGTAATCTGGTACGAGAACCAAACCTGACCTATTTTGTTCTAAGAACCGTTTAAAAAATTTAAGCACAACCGAGCCGGCCAGTTCTAGTTTGGTTAAGTTGGTTCCAGTTATTTTGCCCAACCCCTAGGTAAGTTGATGATTTCTTTGAATTCAATAGAAATGAAATAAGTTCACCGATGTAAATTTTAATACAATAAATTGGTCAAATATAGATTGTACCTTTAAATACTTATTAATTCTATTATGTGTGGTAAGACTATGACATGCATGGAAATACATATGTAGTGAGCTGCATGGACTGAGTTGAGGTGCCTTCAAGCAAACTGATTTACAAAATATACCATCATATTTTTGGAAAGAAAACTCTATTTACGATTGCTGACTCTATGGTTATATCTTCATCAATGTAGTTTCATAGCCCCACATATAAGAGTAGGCAAAAATTTCGGAACCCGAAACCAGACCAAACCCAAACCAGACTGGCTGGTTCTGGTTCTTGAGTTCACTGTACAACGAAAAGAACAGGATTTGTAACTCAGTTTTCCATTTTTAATTGTTATATTTTTTCAAAATTTTAAAGAAGCGTAAATTTTTTATTGCAGTGCACTCGACACACCTAATCTAGATCCTTTTGTTAAGGCCAAAATTGTTTTGTGCAGCCCAGCATTAAGCAGACCTGATAACAGTATATTTCTAGTAAAAACTGCACATGCTCACCCTCCCCACAAATGCCAAAGTAACATTGGACATTCGCACAATCTTAAACTAACTGTATAGGTTCTTCCCAGGATTAAACAGACTTGCTATCAGTCTAGTTCAAGCAAAAACCGCACCATGCCCCGGCCCTCCACACAAATGCCAATGCAACACTGGGAATTCGTACAACTTTAGAATAAATGTATATACATTCACGCATAATTGGGTGTTTTTGTACATGCTACACAGATCTTTCGAAGAATTCACAGTAATGCATGGACCATCAGAAAGCTATTATTTACCAACAAAACGAGAAGCTAAAGTTCCAAGTGTGATACACACCTCGGCAGCCATTCGAGCCCATTTGTTTCCCATTTTAACATGAAGTTCAATGATACGACATTCCTCCTCTGGAGTGAATGCACCTTTCTTTAGATCTGGTCTTAGGTGGTTTGCCCACCTCAAGCGACAACTTTTTCCACACCGGGCAAGCCCTGAGTGCTTCTGGACTGCATTCCAGTTCCCTTCTCCATGCTTGGTAACGTACTCAATTAAAATTGCGTCTTCTGCAGATGTCCAGGGACCTTTTTTAAGTGGACCATTCCCACCCACATTTCCTCCACTATTACCTTCCTCGATGTATGGCAAATCTACGCCATTTTTGGCTATCATCTTTTCCTCACTTTCACTTGACATGCCCTTCACCTATTTCGTCAACAAACCAAGAAAAATGATTTAACAGTTCGGTTTCCAAATTGTCAAATCAGAGATGCCAAGATCTAAACATCTAGAACAGTAATAGCCCATCCGGTAATTTTTAGATATTAAATTATATAAAACGTTTTGCAAAAGCTCATTTATGCAAAGGCATTAACAGAAGTAGAAGAAATATTATCGTTGTAATTATTAATATTATTATCTAATTTAATTTTGATACCTCAATGCGGAGAAGACGGTCTCAGAAGCTGCAGTGCACTCCTTGTGAATCAAATGGAGCCCAGATTCTAAAATAAAAATTCCTTAAACTCGAAATTTAATGTTTCAAATGCAAATCCCAACCTCAAATTATCACTGTAATCGAAAAATAAGCACAAATCCAGCTGAAAATCTTAAAAGAATACCCAAAAGCAGAACAATGCGGATCAAAAATTGAAGAGGAAAGATCAATCTACTATTGTTTTAAGCTATGATTTAGAAAACCCAGAAAGAAAACACCAAGAAAAATCCAGAAAACCTTATGTACAAGGTAAGAAGAGATGAAATTGGCCCAAGATCCACTTATTCGAGAGAGGAAAATGAGAAAAACGGAGAGAACAAGATGAAAGAGACTCAGCCTATACACATGAAAATGAAATTCGAAAAAAGAAGCATTACACGTCAAAATCTGAGTAAAAATCGATGAGAGATTTCAGGGTTGAAGAACACCTCATTTTTCGATTTATTTGTAAAGACACATAGCTACCCCTCAATTTTTTTGCAAGTATTTGCATGATTTCTTTCTTTTTATTATCTCATATGTGTTAATTTCAAAATTTGACCTCTGGGTATGAGAGAGAAACTGGGAATCGGAGACCCCAAATGATGATATTTATATGAGAGTGAGAGAGAGAAAGCGGAAGAGGGCTGGAATTTCATTCAATGTTACCATAATTGTGATGGAAAGTTAAAATTAAAAAGAACTTCAAACTTTGGACTTTAATGTTACTTGTAATTAAAGACATGATACTCTTGACAAAGGGAAGTGTGGTCAACATGTAGGGGCATGAAGTTGGATCGAGAATCATGTTTATATCATTTAAGATATAAGTCAATTTATTTGGAACGATCGGTCATTTTCAATGCGTTTGAAGAGACAAGTCAACAAAAATTTACTTTTTCTGTTATAAAAAATTGACTAAGAAGCGTTGGGGTCCATTTATCATGTAATTCATATCATTTACATGAACTCATTGTCGACTTATTTTTCCTATTGATGAGGTCAATCCTATATGCACATCAAAAAATTAATATGTTAAATAAAAAGAATAATATAATATAATTACATTGTTCTTGACCTAAATATAATGATCAAACAAATTAATATATTTTGGGCAATGCTTGATTAGTTGAATAAATGTAATGGAAAATTTATAATCTAATGAGTAAATTAGTGTAAATTATTGGTAATTTGTACATGTAGAGTAAATTAATGAGTTATGAACCCCGAACACTTTGGGGATTTATGAACCTCGAACACTTTTGTGAAATAAAGCATCGAGATCCTGAATATTTCATTCATAGCTTGCAAGTCTCTAATATTTCACCTTTATAGTATTTCTAGGTCTCTAACTGACGAAAATTGTCCAAGTAGACCTTAAATGGTTCATAAATATTAGGGATAATTGTAACTAAGGTCCCAAACCTTTGAAAAAGTTATAGATTTTCTCCTAACATTTCATTTGTAGTAGCCATCACCCCAAATCTTTCATAACGTTACGGATGATGCCTCAATGGAGGGATTTCATCCATATTTTTGTTTGTTGATTGAAAAATGGACTTTGACCACATATTAATCAATTACAAAAGAACAAAATGGCAACTTTATATTTTTTACATTAAAAATAAAAAAATAACAAAAACAGAATAAAGAGAAAAACAAAATAAAAAGAAAAAGGAAAATCTTCTTCTCTCCCACCGTCACCCCTACCCAACCCCAACCCTAACCCTAACCCTAACCCTAACCCAAACCCAAACCCAAACCCAAAATCGAAAATAATAGAGCTTCCAAACCAGAATCATTTTCCTTGTTCAAATGTTGAATAGCTTGTTTGTTGTGACGTGTATTTGTAGTTGGTTTCAATGCATTTCGGTGTAATGCATTTCGCAAAAGGAAATGGCCATCAACTATGAACTACGTCGTAGGAGTTGTTAAAGAGTAAATTTAATGAATACTCATTCAACTCTAAAAATTTTACTACTTATTCACTCATCTTTAGTGAGTTACTTAATGCTCACTCATCTTTTTATCTAATTACTCATCCACCTCTCATCTAACTTCCATCCCTCCAAATAAACGAAAATTTAGACTTGGATAACAAAAATCATACTTGGCAAACCTTTTCTGTTAAATATTGACAACCTAGAATTGAACTCAAGGACTTCTCTTCTCTCAAAATCACGTCTTCAACCTCAATCAACATACCTTAATTCCAAACCCAGAATCAAGATCTCGATAT